TTGTGTAGCTTTGTGCATAATTAAAAACAAACAAAAACAAACAAACTGATAATTATATTGAGTGTAAAGTGTAATGAAGCTAAGGTTATATTTAATGTGCTATTATTCAGAGATGTACTACTACTAGTATTCCAATTTAAACTTCATTTAAATATAATTCTTAGTTTAAATATCAATACTTATCCCAAATTAACTTTGATATGTCTTTTACTAAACAACTTTCAAATGATAACTATTAAATTTTATTTAAAATAAATTCGTTATTAGTTAAAAAACTTCTGCTAAAATTTAACTAACTTTAAGCCTAATGTTAATTGTAAACGAGTAATTGTATGTAATTGTAATTCAATTTAATCTTAATTTAAATACAATTTTTTGTTTAAAATGCCAATACTTATCACAAATTGACTTTACAATATCTATTTCTAAACAACTTTTGAATGATACCTATTAAATTTTATTTAAATAAATGCCTTATCCTCTCTCTTTTCTTCACTGCTGTAAAAAGACTTCCTCTCTGTCGATACGTCCTCTATACAGGTATTCATTAAAAGTAATAATAAAATAATTAAATTAATAGTTTAAATAATAATGCAACTTCACTACAATTATGTCTGTTCTGAATACTTGTATAATATTCTTGCATTATCCTATCTTTTGCTTATTTCGTTGTCTTTTAATTTTTGTTCATCCTTTTATTCTGTATTTTGATTATTTTTTATAAAATGTTTAAGCTTTATAAATATTTATACCTAATAATCTACCTGTGCAATAATGTTTAAAAATTAAATGTTTGTTACTGTACACACATGTCAAATGTTCGTTGTTACTGTCGTCATTTTGTTGTTCATCAATATATAAAAATTATAGATATAAAAACTAATAATGACTGTTATTTTAAAATGTTTCATACTTTTTTATAATAAATATTAAAATACATTAAAAAGTAATCTCTCATTCACAGAAGTTACCTGATGAAGAACATAACACGTTCACAACATCATGTGCCACCAGTGGTACATATGCATATTTTCGGTTGGACGTCGTGAGCCACCTGTGGTACACAGCACCCATAAGATATAACTGTACCTCGTATCTCCAAAGTCTTATATGAAGCATTTATTTTATACAGACGATTATAATAAAGCCATGCCTTCCATCATGTACTACTGATGGAGCACAGATGCCATGTTGAAAGGGCACCTGAAATAATACAAATTTAAATGATTAAATCACTTTTTATTTAAAGATTGCATCTAGACAGTGGCATTAAATTTTTCAGAGTGAGTAATTGAAGCAAAAAAAACATTAATTGAGACTTGTTTCATGAATAAGAAAACTGTAATATAATAAGGATAGAACTATTATCATCCACAGTAAGGATTATTTTATCTGATGTCCCTTTTTCACAACATTAAAATTGTGAAATATTCATAATTTTTCTTTAAAAAATGGCAAGATTAAGTTGAAAAAAAAAGGAAAAAAATATGATTATCATTTCATTATTATTACTTAAATCATAGTGTGCACCACCGATGGCACATGACAGTGAAAGCTTAAATGGGTAAAGACAGGACATCATGTACCATCAGTGGTGCACTCAAGAGAAAGTTCTCAATGCAGTCATTCTGTCATAAAACATAACATAAAGCCATACAAATGAGCTGTATCTAAGGCAGACTTCACAATGAGGCCTTAAATTCCTGTTGCATAAGAAGAGAAATCACTTATGCCATGAATGTGTTAAAGGGCATTAGTTACTCAAGGTTATCCTTGGTTTAGATAAGTTAACTACCGTGAACATATTTAGATTCTGTTCATTATACCATAGAGGAAAGACCAACCTCAGGTAGCTGGGCTTGTTTCAGATCACCTGGTTTATACTTGAACAAATTTGTGAAGATAAAAGGGTGGAGGTTGGGAGTTTTGTAGAAATATAGGGTGGTTTATTTCTACTATAAGAAGATATTTTGCTTTTTATATCTTATAATATTAAATAAAAGGGTGGAAGTTGGGAGTTTTACATTATAGAATTTTAGTATGGTTTAATTCTACATTAAGTTTATATTTGAATATTAAGGGTAACTGCCTTCCTACAACAGGCTGCAGACAGCAAAAGGCAGTAGGAGTTGAGAATTGTGGGTTAAAGCACTCAACTCCCAACCTTTAAGTGATTCTCCTTAGCTGCTGGCAAGTTTTACATCAATGTAGAGATCTTGTGTGATAAATGGAATATCCCCAACATGTTTATTTGCTATGACCAGACATTATCCATTATCACTTAAGGGATGACAACAAGGAATGGTAATTGAAGAATTGTTTCGAATTTTAGTGTCATTACAATGTTCTTTATATATAGACACACACACACACACACTTCAAGATTTTTTCATGATATTTTAATAATCATATGAACTAAATGAAATGAGAAAGTTAAAAGTTAACTTTCTCAAAAGCTTTTTTTCTTTTTTTAGTAAGATGTAAGACATGGGAGTGTGGGGTACATTTTTGAGATGGCTGCTTGCTTTTAAACAATTTTGTGTTCAAAAATTTAGTTTTTGTGAAATTACCGAAATATTTAGAAAAAAAATGGAAGTTTTACAAAGTTGCTGAAATTAAGAACATACCAAATTACTTAAGGGTGTATTAGTAAAACATATCTTACATGTTACTTGCCTTTTTTTTTATGTTCACTGCAAATGGGAACTACGTATTGTATAATTTTCAGTAATTTTATGGTTTTGCCAGTTACAACACCCAATGTAAACTTTAAAGAATTTACTTTTTGTAATATATATAGAAAATCACAGCAATAATTAATTAGATTAATTGCAATATTGCTGGATTTTTGTTTGCAATTTTTTATAAGTCTTGTATTGTTAGAAATGCTATAATGAACAAAGCCAGGTGCCTAAAAGCAATTTGATCTACAAGTAGTTCAGGAAACTGTTTAGAAAAAAAAACAACAGTGTAGCTTATGTGGACCCAGTAAGTAACTCTAGGGTTAAACAGAAGTTTTCAATGACTGATCAGGCTGGAAGAGATTTTATAGGTCTTCAGCTAGTAAAGTATAAATTATATTTTAAAGTTTTAAAATAAAAGTTAGAACTGTTAGCTAAAAATCTGATTTTTAAAATCTCAAAAATTAGAAATAATGTATGTAGAAAATACTCTCTACAGGTTGTTAGTCCACTAAACCGAGACCAGGCTATTTATGCAAGAGATGCTCTGTCTAAGGCAGTGTATGAGAGACAGTTTAAATGGTTGGTCCAGAAATTAAATAACTCACTGGAGAACAAGGCAAGTTGATTATTTTTCTATCATGTTAAGAATTTTTGTAGAGTATGATAATATATAATGTAAATCAATTTTTTCAGAATAGTGTATGTTTTGTAAAAACAAAACAAAAAAAATTGCAAACATTTTTGTGATTGTGTGTTTTTATTATTCCATATTGTATTTCCCTTATGAAAATGTAAAACTGTAATTTGCTGTTAGTACCTTGATTTCTAAACTTTTAACTGTAATATCATAAATTGATAGTTTGAAATTTTTTTGTAATTGATAATTACTGTATTTGTTTATTAAACAAGATTAAAACTCAACACATTTTTATGTGTGCAGAAATATCTATTAGTGCCTTAGTATCTTGTATTAAACCAGAGGATTTCTATGATAAAATAAATCTATCTAAAAATATGACTTTCTAGTTTTTCCTTTTTATTATTATTATCTTAAAGTCAGAAAGTTTTCCTAAAGATGATTTTACAGCTATGTGATTATAAATTATATTTTTATTTTGGTTTCTAATGACTGAAGTTTCACTTTAGAGTGAGTCTGGAAGGAGGACACTGATGGGATTACTAGATATATATGGGTTTGAAATCTTCCAAAACAACAGGTAAATTGTAATAATAATTATATAAATAATATTGACCAGCTGAAAATAAGGCTTAAAAGTTTTTGCCTTAATCACTATTCATAGGTCAAATAAATTTCATAATAAAATTAGAACAGGTTTGCAAATTTTTTCAACAGTTATTCATACTTCTGTGTATATTTAAATTATTTTTAGTTTTACTTGGATATTGTTTTAATTTCAAGAACTAATACAGAAATGTACTTGTATAGAAGCTTCTTTGTCTTAATTTCAGTTTCTAGTGTATTTGGAGAAAATGTAAATTTCAAATTAGGAATTAAATAAAGGACAGCAGTTATAAAATTGTGGGTGGTGATAAACAGATGAAGTAAATATCTGTCACTTCTCACTTTCTATGTCATGTAAAGTGTTTACTATAGCCAGATAATGTTTTATTAAAATATTACACTATATACTAAACATGCACGGTACTAGCAACTAAGTTTTAGTTTCTACAATTTGTGTTTTTAAAGGCTAAAAAATAAGTTTAAGACATATAAGTAGAATAATAGGATGAAATATTTTACAAAAAAGTCAGATTCGAGAAATTTAGTGTAATTTTATATTTCCTGTCTTGAGAGCTCAATTCCAAACATTTGCTGTAACTTAAAGTTGTTTTTTTGTTTTTTCAACAACAAATCATAAGATAAATCTTAGTATGATGTTAATCAAGACTTGGTTTCAGTTTTGAACAGTTTTGTATTAATTACTGCAATGAGAAGCTTCAACAACTTTTTATTGAACTAACACTGAAGCTAGAACAGGAGGAATACAGAAGAGAAGGGATTGAGGTAAGAAACAAACTACTGGTAAGTTGTAGAAACTTTAGAGAAAAAGGATTGAGGTAAGAAACAAACCACAGGTTTGTTGTAGAAACCATAGAGAGAAAGGATTGAGGAGAGAAACAAACCACAGGCTAGTTGTATGAACCATAGAGAGAAATGATTGAGATAAGAAACAAACCACTGGTAAGTTGTAGAAATTTTAGAGAGAAAGGATTGAGGGAAGGAACAAATCACAGGTTACTTGTATCGAACATAGAGAGAAACAACTGAGGTAAGAAACAACCCATTGGTGTGTTGTAGAAATCTCAGAGAGAAAGGATTGAGGGAAGAAACAAACCACAAGGTAGTTGTAGAAACCACAGAGAGAAAGGATTGAGGTAAGAAACAAACCACAAGGTAGTTGTAGAAACCACAGAGAGAGAATGGATTGAGGTAAGAAACAAACAGGTTAGTTGCAGAAACTTCAGAGAGAGAGTATTAATATAAGAAACAAACCACATGTTGTTCTAGCATTGTTAGAGAGGAAGGACTGAGGTAAGAAACAAACCATTTGTTGTGTAGCAACCTTAGAGAGAAAAGATTGAGGTAAGAAACAAACCATAAGGTAGTGGCAAGAAAACCATAAAGAGAGAAAGAAATGAGGTAGGAAACAAACTATAAGGTAGCTATATAAACCTTAGAGAGAAAGGATTGAGGTAAGAAACAAACCATAGGTTAGTTTAGAAATGCCACAGGGAGAAAGGATTGAGATAAGAACAAACCACAGGTTAGTTAGTTGTAGAAACCATAGAGAAAGGATTGAGATAAGAACAAACCACAGGTTAGTTAGTTGTAGAAATGACAGATAGAGAGTATTGAGGTAAGAAACGTACCACAAAGTAGTTGTAGAAATGACTAGAGAGGACTGAAATAAAAAACAATCCATGAGATAGCTGTAGAAGCCATAGAGAGAAAAGATAGAGGTAACCTTTGGTTACACGTAGAAATCTTAAAGAGAAATGAGCCATAAAGTAGAACTTTTAGAGAAAAAGGATTGAGATAGGAAGCAAACCATAAGTTAATTTTAGAAACCTCAGAGAAAAAGGATTGAGGCATGAAACAACTTGCTGAGGGAAGGAATTTGAAGTAAGAAATGAACTATAAATCTACTGTAGGAACAATGGAGAAAATGAACTTGTGTAATGGACAAACTACAGATCAGTTATAAAGCTATTGACTGAATTAAGAAACAAACTGCAAGTTACCTGTAAAAACGTGAGTGACTGTTAGAGAAAGTCAGAAAAACATAAAGATTAGTTTCAGAGTAATAAGTTCATTACACAACAGGTTTGAAGTTTAGTAAAAAAAGCTGTAAAATTAGGAAATAAATTATTTAATAGTTACCTGCATTTCATGATAACTTACAATTTGAATGTATATATATATATATATTACTTTGTAAAGGAATGTTTTGGCTGGTTTTGAAACAGTTTTGACCACTTATTTATTTTCAACTTCAGTTACTCCTATTCAAGTCTTGTTTATATGTTCATTTGTGTGGGTTGATAGAATGTACCTACTTATGTTTAACATGAAAAATTCTAAGGCTTCTTTATATTTTATTAATACTTAAATTAACTTTCAAATGTTTTTAACTATTTTTAATTGTGTATCATGAAAATAAAGTAATTCAAAAGTTTAAGTAATTTGATTTTTAAACCTGTAAAAATGGAGAAGTTAATTTGAATATTAAATTGCTTGGTATTTAAATTGTTTCAGTGGGAAACAATAGAGTACTTCAACAACAAGATCATTTGTGACTTAATAGAAAAGCAGCATAAAGGTGTTATATCTGTTCTGGTAAGTTTAAAATTACACCTATTTTCCCACAAGAGCAGTTAGAAGTTTCATCTCTGAGCAGATAGATATACGTATCACAGCAGCTTTTGAAATTATAAATATTTCTCTTTTTCTTATTTTAAATGGGGAAAAAATGTATCTGTAAACAAAACAGTAATCCTATTTGATATTGATTTAACCCTTTCATTACGGGTTGGGTGGAATCCACCCAGCTCGTAACCATGAAAGTATCCATGAGAGAAATTATACTATGATTTTTGATACTGTATGAACATCGTTACAAAATTTTGCAGATTATTGATAAACATTACAAGGTTTTCGTACACAAAATATCATGTTTTTAAATTAAGTATTAAGATTTTTTAATTAAAGATTTTTCTCATAAACTTTTTCTTTCAGAATGTTGACTATCCAACATGCAAAGTAATTTTGATTTTATGATTAAAAATACAAAGTGTTAGAACATTTTCAAATTTCACATGTGAAATCTTTATAATCTCTAGATAATTATCAAGTTTTTTCTAGAAAAAAAAAACTATTTTATTTGTTATTTTCACTATTATTTTTTAGAAGGGTTTGGTTCGATATGACCGACTTTGTAACCTGAATAAAAAATTTGAAAAAAATATAAATTATGCTTTTTCCATTCTAGAATGACTACAAATTATAACACGAAAACACAAATTTTTAATCTAAATAGCTTAAATCTCATAACCTTGTACATTTA